TTAGACATTTAAATTAGACCATTTTGACTCACCCAGTGATGACGGCATTGAAGAGATTTGATCAACTATCGATTTCTTCATTTTACTCAAAACAATTTTGATAGGCTTTTTAAACTCCATGTACAGCTACGTGTTTGGATGTTTCCTTTTTCAAGTTGGTATTCATCATGGACTGACATCAGTTGTAGGAATATTGGAAATATGGGAGCACTGAACAGCTGTTTCTACCCTCTAGTATGGGAATCCTTAGCAGTGCGCGCCCATGACCCTATCAGGGATCGAACCGACAAACTTCAGGTCCCGTGGCTAACATATTACCATTAAGAGAAAATGTCTCTAAATCCCACAAACACCCAAATTCAAATGATCTAGTTCGCATTGGTGACTAGATGTGAGGGGTGATTCCATAAGTTCCAATGAGAAGTCGTCACCCATGGGGCAAACCTGGTGGCTGTGAGGGTAAATACTTAATGATGGCATTGAGTGATGGTTAAGCTATGTTGTGAACTCACAGCAGTTGGAAATATGGATCACTGGATTCCGACTCAGTGGATCAAGGGTAACATGCTAGCCACAGAAGCTGAAGGTCCTGCGTTCAATCCCTCATGGGTCCGTGGGTTCGCACTGTAGAGCGGTCTCATACTAGCGGGGCAAAACAGCTGTCCAGTGCTCGCAGGTTTCCAGTATTCCTCCAGCTGATGTCAGTCCATGATGAATACCAACTTGAAAAAAATATTTCTAAACCCCCATAAACCCTTAAACTCAACTGTTTGAATGTGTTCGTTAACTTTTATGAAGTATTTGGATTTGATTGTGACTATTATTGAAGTGCCCTTCTTAGATTTGATAATGATCATATCCAAACTCTGCTCATATATGAGCACATCAAAGCCTCGGAGCTAGAAAATACATGAATAAGTTGGATCATACGATCGACGTTTAGTCATTTTTAAGCCCTAATTAGCTTAAACATCTTCAAATCTATGATAATTCTAATGAAGAGAAGGTTTTAAAAACCTTCATTTGAAACGAACAGTAGGGAGTGACTTGCAGAAGAGTCTAGGACTTATATTTCATCCTGTTTGGGACTCATCAACTGGACGTAGCTGTATCCAAGGCAGTATTGGGGTTCTGACTAGAACTTAAACCCAGTCACTAGACGCTTCGAAGCGTCAAAGCATTGTCCATGGTAATATATTTGCCTCATTTACAAGCAGAATGAAGTAAGTATACATTTTTGGTTGTATTGTGTTCTCTGAGCTGGGTTGTTTCATCGTGAAGTTCTCATCGTCTTTCTGGACGACAGTATGAAGTTAGTGAAGTGTTGGTGATGTCGTCCAGTAAGACGATGAAAACTTTACGATTAAACAACTCAGCTCAGAGAACACAATACAACCAAGACCAGCCACATGAGCTACAAATATTCTTCATTATTTCAAAGTATATATTTATTATAGAGTGAAGTAGCATACTTCTATATTGGAACAAAACGAACATGTATAGCGAAACTTAGATGGAACAGGCAAGATTACATGATAAGTGTTAGCAAACTTAATGATATATACTAAGGATTTTCATTTGTAAGTAGTTTGAAGAAGAGTTTTGGATGCACATTTCGTTCTACTTAGGACTCGTCAGCCGTATGAATTTGCACGCCCATGAGTGAGGTTGTTCCCATGAAGTCGAGAAGCCAATAATGGTTAACCAATTCACTCCAATGAATGACGGGAAACTATATGCTATGACATCTTCATTCGTTTATAAAAAGTCTATCATCACCTTAAATCTGTCGAATATAGGTCAATGCAATAGTATTTTTGCTTTATAAAATATCCTTATTATCTTCATTTTCATTTGAGCCTACCTGGTTCAGTACTTTTCATTTATTTCATCAGGAAAAATTCTTCTGTAATCTTTTATGAAATAACGTTTTCGCACAGAATGTCAGAATGACTACTAATCGCCAAAAAAATAGCTGCTCTCCGTGATCAAACAGTTACAAATTTCGATTCTCAAACCTTCTTACAACTGTCTAAACAAATCTTTACAGTAAACAGATTAGAAGTTACATTTTGCTTCAAACATGAAAAAATTTTCAGTTGTTAAATGTCTGAATTGAAAGTAAAGTTTTAATCATAATGGAATTTGAATCATGCGACTCTTACCCAAGCAATTAAAATCTATTGAACGATATTCGTAACGCAAGAGCACGTAATTATTTGACTACATAGTCACAAAATGTCTACTAAACAGGTGACATTAGGCTGTATAAATGAGGCCAACTTTAAACAAGTTAGAGCGCAATGTGCATCAGATTTAACCAACTGGAAAGAATTCCATTTCAGTCTGTTTATTAGTAATTTCAACCAGCAAAGAAAAAAACACCATCCTTCAGTCGGTTACGTTTCACACATTATTCATTCTCCATACTCATATCACATAACTCATAATATCCTCTACTCCTTCCTCATCACAAGGGTAGTACAATTTTCACCATATCCAGGACCGCTCAAGAATCATTTCCATTCCTCCATATATCAGCTGTTGATTCGGAAACAAACATCCAGTCATCAGTCTCTCCCTCCACTCAAATAACTCACCTTTCAACACTGCCACCCTATCCCACCCTACTCCTCAACTGTCAGCAGTTGCCTGCAAAACTATAGACCAGCTTCTCTCGAAATCACCTATCTCACTGCATCCTACTCATCTTCATTCACCTGAGTTTTACTGCTTCGTCGTTCTCATCAACCCTAGCTGGCCAACTACCTTCACCCATATATTCCACATGGCAATCATTCCAAGGAATCAGATAAACCAAATTAGTTCGCCACATTGCACCAGTAGGATGTTTAACCATACAAAGCTTGTTTGTGAGTGAGTTTGTTGGTTAGAATGCCACTTGAATCCCAGCCAACCTTACTGATAATTCCTCGTGATGTTTCTCAGGTGCCTTCCTTGTATAGTAAGTAACACATCAGGAGAGGTCGATAACCGAATCTTTCTTCATCGAATCAACACCGAACACATGTAGTGAAGGAAATGATTCTGCACCTGCTCAACATATAGGAAAATTGCTACTATGCCTGTCATCACAGAGAAGGGGAGCAAATTAGGACTATATAAAGTCTGTCTCAAAGTTGTGGAGTTACCTGATCTGATATGATGAATATGGACAATGAATAAATTGTGTCCGAAATGTTATCTAGTAAATGATAGTGTTCCTTCACTGTCACATTTTTGACAAGTAGACCAAGATGGAATCACAATCGACCACAGTGCCTAATCTTTACTTTTGTATTAATGATTTATAATACCGTCGAAGTGATAGGATTACAGACTTGCTTTTCGCCATATGATATCAAGAAGTAGTCGCTTCTACTTTTGTTCGGTGGCCACAATTGTCATTTGACAATGATTACAACACTCAATATTTATCACGTTTGAAGTATATGATGACCGTAGTAGAGTTAGGCATGAGTGGATTGTTGGCATAAAAGAAGGAAACATATTCAGTATGTCACCTATAGAGTCAAAGTTCTTGGATACTGATTTTAACTATATTTTGTGGTCGTTAAAAATACATGACTTTTACAATCTTTGATCCTATTTTAAAGGTTTAGTAGAGATGGTTTCTGCACAATACAGTTTACTTCCGCTCCAAGAGATAAACAAGAGACACTTTCTGACACACCGTAAACTAACACGAAAGCAGGATGGTTGTTTCGATATAAATTTTCTAATAGCCATGTAGACTTTAAGTGGTCTCACCGCACACTGGTAAAGGTAGCTATCGCAAAATGTTCATAGTCAGTTGTTCTTTGAGCTAGTGTCTTTTTGTGTGTGTAGTGATTGACGTCCACGTCTAGTATGACGTTGAAACGCTTGCCAGATAAAACACTAGGTCCGAGAGCAAATCACACTGAACCTCTACAACCTGAGCTGCAAATATTTAATTAACCAGCCTGTGTCTAATCAGTAAGTCAAAAAATATAGTCAATCAGTGAATAATGAGTATAACACAATTATGAAGGAATTCTGAGAATCTATACCGTTACCATGTAAAGAAAGGACATTGAAAACCGCATTTGGTAAGAGACTGGTTGGTATTCAAGCCTTCGAATCCCCTGAGAGATGAGTTTTACCAGCTTCAGGATTCGACTGATAATTTAATTGGCTAGTGTAAATGAATCCACTGGTGAAAACTGTTCTATTTCCCTCAACTCTCAATATCTCAAAAGCATTATCCAGCATTATCAGTGAACAACCAGTTAACTCGACATTTTACCAATTTCTATACAAGCATCAGAAAATCCTTTTAAAAGCTAATAAGCAATGAGAATTGGATTTTCCTTCATTTTAGGGATTTGCTGAGCTGTAGAAAAATGACTAACTAGTTCATAGTTGTTCGGAGGTAATTGGCAGGAAGGTGTAGTCAAACTAAGTTTCGACCTTGTTAGCACTTGTCAGCAAGGCGCATTTGTGATCTCGAGTGAACTGATTAGTTACTGAGGGGTAATCAATCAATGAAGTTCACTAGCACTCTTAAAGCTCTCACTAAATCACTACCTGATGTCAATTGATGATGAGTATTTTCCACAAGTTATTCTATTTCTCATTGATCAATAAAATGGTAGAATATCACTTGATATGCGTAATATATTTTAAACATACTGTTCTGAAGATCATTGTCATATGTCTTCCCACACCAACCACATGGTTGTATATACTCAGTGAATGCATGCATTCTACCGTTGAATATCCAATATTTCTTTTATCCATATATGTACAATGTGAAACCAATAAATGTGCTTGTAATCGACATTGAGCATATAAACAATTGAGTGGATCATTTGATTTGATAAGAAATCTTTGCCAACAAATAATACATGTTGTAGAAAGATCTAATTCCCACAAAGATGAACCATTCTCTTGAATTCGACCATCTTTTACAGCTAATTCATAGTTTTCATTCAAACGATGAATATGTTTTGCATGGATTAAATGTTTGTTAAAGTGTATACTTGATTTGTGTAATTCGTTTTGACATCAATGAATGTGATACTTTCACTAATCTGCTTATTTAAAGAACATACTTGACAAATGCCTAACAGTGAGTCAATTTGATTCGCACCAGCATGAAAGCATACTATATGGGCTTGAAGCATTGCATTACTGGTAATACGATTTGTTAATTGGTCAGATAGTCTATTTTCGTGTTGTGTACTCAAATCATAAGATATAGAAATCAACTGACACAATGGACATGAATAAATCCAGTTATATTCTGTATTATCCCCTTTAATGGACTGATGTTTCAACCAGAAGGCTATTTCAATCTGAGGAAGATGATATGCATCAATATGTGTTTCTAAATTATGTAATCCTTCTGGAAATAACAAAGGGTTTGAAGATTTACATCGATAGTTTTCATCTGACTCGGATGTTGATGATTCTTCGGAGGAATAATCTTGATAATTTGTTTTACATTCCTTACTATTACTACAACTACTTATCTGAGTTTTACAGTATTTTGAAGATTGCCTTTGTGAATTCTTCTTCCACCTCCAAAACTGACTCTCATCTTTATAATCATCTGAATATGGTTGATTGAATGAATTACATTCAGCGCATTTTCCAGGTTTACGTCCAACTGCATGCCTACACAGTATATGCACTACTAAGTGTAATTTTGACCAAAATCTTATACATGTTTGATATAATTTTAATGGAGATTTTAGTGAATGTGGTGTATTTCTAGAATTCGTCAGCATAAGTTTACGATTATTTTCAATCATGTTATCTGGGGAACAACATAACAAGCATATAAATGGTAAACCATACTGTAATGAACCTTTAGGTAATAGAGATAAAGTAAGATGAATAACTTTTTGTTGTATACATCCATGTTGATTGATATTTTGATAAAATTTTTTAATTATCCATTGTTTTCCGCATCGACGACAAATAAAATACAAATTATCATATTGTGAAGAATCATTAACGATATTTTATTGTTCAATTTGTTAGTTAACATTCTTGATCGATGTTCAATTATCAGTAAATGAGCATATAATAAAGCACTGTGTATACAATCGATACCACATAAGCGGCATATGAAATTCTTATACTGTACTTCATTATATGATCCATTAGTGGATATATTAATCTTTTCATTCAACTCTTTACAACAGATAACTTTTCTATGTACTGATTTCTTTACATTTCTGTCTTTCTGAGAATAATTTTGTTTATCTGAATTAATTTTTGGTAGATGTAGCGTTTTGTTGATAGTAGGTGATATTTTTAAATTATCAAATATTATTGGTGGATATGGTGGTAATAAATGACATGGTGGTATCTTATACACATGTTCATAATCTCCACAAGGATGCTCTTTATGTGGATTTTGTATGTTTGAATATGAATACTCAGAGAATTTCATTTTCTCTTTATTGTTCATCATTAATTAGTCATATTCTAGGAGAAGGGCTATTTTAGCAATCCAAACAGATGAATGAAGATAAATGGCATGAATATTTGTTGTGTAATAGATTTGAAATGGATGATTTTATTGATTTTTCAGATTGACCTTGTAGATAGACACGTTAAATGATTCAAGCATATTTCAAAAGTATTTATGAAATATTCTTTACATTCTCATTGAAATATAATCAAATTCTGAAAAGATGATAAATAAATAAATGAAAAGATAAGTATGAGACTCATGAAAGCGAAAAGAAGGTTAAGCGAACTCCCTTCTATCTTTCTGATGACCTTATTATAACGATCCATACATTTTGATATAATTTTAAACTGCTAGCGTTACTAAACTTTAAAGTTTATTCGACTTATTTTGTATTGATGCTCATCCCTTAGCTGGTTCAACTCCAATATTATGTGTTACGAGTAGGCATACAATGCAGCTTATTCAACAGCATCGTATAGATTCGTATTCAGTTACACCGAGAATATAGTTCGAACTGTAACACATTTTTTGCTCGTAATGGAAAAATCTTATGTGATAAATGATTGTGATGACGGTTACGAATGGCAAATTCTACTAGGGAAAGAGATTTTCCACTGATTTACTTAGACAGCTATTTATTATGGAAGGCATTCTGTGGTGAACTATCGCGTCCTACCTTTGTACGTCACACGAGAGAGACAGACAGGTGATTATAGAGGTAATTCGTGAAGTGACCGGTGGGACAAGACGAGTGACTGTGGGGATAAATACAAAATTATGACATTTGGTGATGGTTACGCTACGTTGTGAACCCACAGTAGTTTGAAATATGGACCACTGGATTCAGACCCAGTAGCTCAATGGTGACGTGCTAGGCACAGAACCTTAAGGTCGTGGGTTACACCCCTGTTGGGTCCTTGGGTGCTCACTATAGAGCAGTCCAATACTAGTCCGGCGAAACAGATGTCCAGTGCTTCAAAGTTTCCAGTTTCCCCCTAACTGATGTCAGTACATGATGAATACCAGATTGAGAAACCACATGAAAGTGGTCAGCGGTTTATGTTTTAATTATGCTTACTGATACTGTTTCTGCATCATCTTTGTGAATGTTCTAGAATACTCCATTTAGTCTGTTTATCAAAAATGTGACACAGTGAAGGAACACTATCATTTACTAGATAACATTTCGGACACAATTTATTCATTGTCCATATTCATCATATCAGATCACGTAACTCCGCAACCTTGAGACAGACTTTATATGGTCCCAATTTGCTCTCCTTCTCTGTGATGACAGGCATAGTAGAAATTTTCATATATGTGGAGCAGGTGCAGAATCATTTCCATTACTGCATGTAACTGGGTGTTGATAACTGAATCTTTGTTTATCGAATCAATACCAAATACATGCAGAAATGATTCTGCACCTGTTCCAGATATATGTATATATTGCATCAGCTCTAACCAATTGGAAAGAATTCCATTTCAGTCTGTTTATTAGTAATTTCAATCAGCAAAGAAAAAAACACCATCCTTCAGTCGGTTACGTTTCACACATTATTCATTCTCCATACTCATATCACATAACTCATAATATCCTCTACTCCTTCCTCATCACAAGGGTAGTACAATTTTCACCATATCCAGGACGCTCAAGAATCATTTCCATTCCTCCATATATCAGCTGTTGATTCGGAAACAAACATCCAGTCATCAGTCTCTCCCTCCACTCAAATAACTCACCTTTCAACACTGCCACCCTATCCCACCCTACTCCTCAACTGTCAGCAGTTGCCTGCAAAACTATAGACCAGCTTCTCTCGAAATCACTATCTCACTGCATCCTACTCATCTTCATTCACCTGAGTTTTACTGCTTCGTCGTTCTCATCAACCCTAGCTGGCCAACTACCTTCACCCATATATTCCACATGGCAATCATTCCAAGGAATCAGATAAACCAAATTAGTTCGCCACATTGCACCAGTAGGATGTTTAACCATACAAAGCTTGTTTGTGAGTGAGTTTGTTGGTTAGAATGCCACTTGAATCCCAGCCAACCTTACTGATAATTCTCGTGATGTTTCTCAGGTGCCTTCCTTGTATAGTAAGTAACACATCAGGAGAGGTCGATAACCGAATCTTTCTTCATCGAATCAACACCGAACACATGTAGTGAAGGAAATGATTCTGCACTGCTCAACATATAGGAAAATTGCTACTATGCCTGTCATCACAGAGAAGGGGAGCAAATTAGGACTATATAAAGTCTGTCTCAAAGTTGTGGAGTTACCTGATCTGATATGATGAATATGGACAATGAATAAATTGTGTCCGAAATGTTATCCAGTAAATGATAGTGTTCCTTCACTGTCACATTTTTGACAAGTAGACCAAGATGGAATCACAATCGACCACAGTGCCTAATTTATATTACCGTCGAAGTGATAGGATTGCAGACTTGCTTTTCGCCATAGGATATCAGGAAGTAGTCGCTTCTACTTTTGTTCAGTGGCGACAATTGTCATTTGACAATGATTACAACACTCAATACTTGTTACGTTTGAAGTATATGATGACCGTAGTAGAAATAGGCATGAGTGGATTGTTGGCATAAAAGAAGGAAGCATATTCAGTATGTCACCTACAGAGTCAAAGATCTTGGATACTGATTTTAACCGTATTTTGTGGTCTTTAATTAGATGATAAAATACTTTCATTATTACTTCTGTGACCGTTAGTACAACCTAACAGTCTACTAACGGTACAAGCCCAGCTGACTACTAGCGATACGAACCCGATGCGCAAACGATTTGACTCTAAAGCAAATTAGATCATGAGCCACCACCATAACAATAGCACTCATACGCGAAAGCAAAAGAAACCAGACCATTGACAGAAATCTTTTTATTGTCTGAACAACTGTCAAAATAGTTGAGAGCAACGCTGAATATATACATTTTTTAATGACCTTGACAACACTAAATCCACATACAAGTGAAAATATTTTACAACCAATGAGAGTTCAGCCTTCAGATCAGAGGAAAGAAAAACTAGTAACGGATTAATGGAGCCATGATAGGTTATTTTAAAGTGATGAGAGAAGCAGCAGCTATGTAAAACTAGGGATATACAGGAATTACTAATCTTATTTACATGTTTATTTTATCACACCACCACTCATTTCTTAGCTAGCATGAGCTCAAATAGAGAGCTGAATGTTAAATTTATTCAAAAGTATTTATTTAGTTAAGGAGTGAAACGAAACGATCTTTACGTATTATTTACAAAACTTCTATGTATGACAGTGTGTCAAGAAAAGATGACCATATGACATCATCATAGGATTAAAGCAATTTATTTTGAGATGCACTGTGAGAGCAGAATTTTTACTCGATAAAATTTTTGTTCCATGTCTGGTTGGCATTAGTGTCTCGTCTAACAGACTAGAATGAACTGGGTGAAAGTGTTAACGACTTCACTTACTTTCAAAATGAGTTCAAACTATGTAGGTTATCGACCGATGAAATCTTTGCACGGATGAAAAATGCCTTGATCTGCAATTGCTTGATTACACCATCTACTGCGCTGGTATTATAACAAATATCAAATTACGGACTGAGTGTATTGTGCTACAGTTAACTTCAGTCCCTTATATGGCATTGAAACACGACTATTAGAATTAGAGAACATGCGGAGGTTTCGGGTATGCAACTATCGTTGCCTTCATACCATAGGCTGTGCATTACGTAGAAGTAAGACATATATTTCCAGGCAGAAAAGGAAAGTCAGTCAATGAGTTTGTGAACCTTTGTTGACTGAGGTAGCTAGGACATGTGTTATGCATGCCTGGTCAGCATCTACCTTGCAGCTCAATCCTATCTGAAGTAGGCTCGCACCGGATAAAGGTTGGAAGCGGCCAGACTAAAACATGATATCAGTCTATGAAGTTTTGAGTGTTGATCTGATAGGTGTTGGGGGTGTATACTTCTTGTCTGGGGCCCGTATGACACCACAAATAAGCGATGATGGAGTCTCGGAGGTACTGGCTGGGAATCGATTTCAGTGGCGCAGGTGTATCCACACCTTATATTTACTCAGATCTTCAGATCAAACTTCACTGCTGTCTCCTTCAGTCTTGGTCTGAAATAATAATTTTCTAATACTTTTCACTGTTTGGTTCCTTTTCTTTTCATCTTCTGGCTGCTGTCTACTCTGATATGCTGATTTGAGGTGTGGCAAGTTGGAGGGTACCAGGCTAATGAAATATACCATGTTGGTACTGACTGATTTGAGATAAAAAGATAAATGAAGTTGTAGTGGATTCTACAAATGAACAGCTACTTGTGATAAATTTAGAGAAATAAAGAGTAAATAATAAGCTTCAGCCAAAAACGAAATCAATGGAGACATTTTTATTCATTGATTGGTGACCAGAGAGTAACCAATTTTATTTTACCTAGTCCTGAGTTCTGACAGGATTCTATGGTGGTGGCCTGCTCAAATATCTGGGCTACTAAGTTTCCAATCTCAAATATCCCGTCAAATTTTCCCATACTTTTGTTTTTTTTTAATCATTTTATTACGTCCTCTGAGCACATTATAAATTCATACACATTTTTAAAGATTTACAATCTATTACGATGCTTTTATTAAATATAATATGCAAAAAGCATCACAGTGGATGGCAACATGCTTTGAAGCGAATAACCTTATCTTATATCAGACTGCTTGAAATTATAAACACGAGCTGAAGGTCATTGCAGGGATTTTTAACCATAATACTGGAGTAATTACACTGCAAAAAACGTGGTTACATAAACTTTATGATGACTATTTGATATCTCTGAATGGTTTCAAATTTTCCCCTTTAGGAAAAATGGAGGTGATGTAGCTACCTTCACCAATACCCATTGGTGCATTTCCAGTTACATATGCTTCGAATCCTCAAATGACTACATTGATTGCATTACTGTTAAATGTCGCCTAAAACATTTC